AAAAAAAAAAAAGTTAAAGATCAGAGGAACTGATTCTTTAAAGGACTTCAAAGGTTATTACAATACCCGTGGACTAGAAATGGTCTTGCTAGTTCATTGACTGCCCAGGGTGATAACATTCACAATGACATATGGGCTTTCTGCAAATATAAATGAGGCAACTTTTTTGGTGAGAGGTGTCCTCCAGCATTTCCCAGGTCACCATGCCCTCTGGACCAAAGTAATCCTCTGAGTCTAGTCAATTCCTTGAGGCCTGAGTGCTGGAGCAAGAAGGGCAGACAGCTGTGGGGAGGACCTGGGTGAGGATTTCTCTCTCCTCCCCTGGGTTTCAGAGCCACTGACCTTCTTCATCTTGTGGTCCACATTCAGATAGCGGTTCCTCTCAATCCGCAGGAGATCCAGCTCCTCCCGTAGGGCAGCATTCCGCACAAGCTGGATATCAAATTGACAGGTGACCTAGGGATAGGGAGGGATGGAAAAATCCATCTGAGGCCTAGTCTGCCTCCTTCTTCCCCACTCAGCCAAGGAGGGGCACTTGTCAGAGATGGAATCAGCCCCTTTCCTCTTTGGTGGTCCTGAGAGCAACATCCAACCCCCTTAAATGAACCATCAACCTCCTTTCCTTGGGACCCTTCATACCTCAGGATCTTGTTTTCTGATACACATACATACACACATACACAGTCAACCATCTCTGGAACCTAATGCCTATACTCAATTCTTGCCCTGACTCCAGAGTTCAGGCCTAGAGAGAACCAAGAGCCTGACTCTCACCCTGTCCAACTGGTCTTCTAGGATCTTGATCCTTCGCCGTATCTTGAACTTCTGATCCAGGGCAAAACCCAGGGCCTTTACTTCCTTATTGTAGGCAAAGATCCTGTTCTCCCACTCCCGGATCTAGAAGAAAGATAGTATGTATTTGTTGCCTGAATGTGGGAGAGACTGAATGGCCAAGGGAGGATGAGTGACTGAGCATGGCTGACATCTGCGGTCTCTGGGGCTGCAGCATCTTTCTACACTTCTGCTGAGAGTACCCACCCTTCCATGTGGTTCTGGTGGGGCTTCCAACCATAACATACCACATTGCCAGGCATGTGACCCACATCTAGACAAACACAATGATTGGCCTAGAGATGGACATGTGATCTAAACAGAGCCTATGTGACTCCTTTCTTGGTATTTTGGGGGAAGCACATGATATGGAAGGATGGGATTCCAACCCTTATGCTGCCATAGTCCCCACTACATGCAGTATTCTGGGAGAACAAGGCCAGTAGACAGAAGTGGATATGAAAGTCTGAGAGATAGTAAGAATGAGCCTGA